ACATCTATTCTACTCCCCGAGTGCTAAACTTCCTTTGGCAGAACCGGGTGGAATTTGGGGCCCTGCAGCGTCCACAGAGGCTCTCCTGCTCCTGGAGCCGGGCTAGCCTACTGGAGGGGGCGCTGCATGCAGAACCGAAGCTCCCAGCCCGGGGCAGCTCCTGCCACCCCCCCCTCCCCCCGGGTGAGTGAGGCCCCTTGCACGTTCTCGCGTGGCCAGGCTCCAAAATTAACGCGCCGCACAAGTGACCGTCACTGGGCTCAGAGCAGAAGCACCGCCGCGCAGGGGCCCTGAGACACGCTCGCCAGTTTTATGCCACGGGGGGAGGGTGTTGTGACTCGGTAGTAGGGAGACACACACACACACACACACACACACACACACACACACACACACGGGGAGATGTCTGAAAACAGAGATGAGGAGAGAGGGAGTGATGGTGCCGATTAGAGGAGGAAGGAAGCGTGGCCTGAACTCGCACCCTCTGCCCACACAGGAAGGGTCCTGGTTCGAGTCCAGAGACCTCCCTGAGCACACTGGGCACACACGTATTCATGACCCAGGCCTGGATGAAGCTGGGGTGCATCATAGCCCAGGTACCCTGTTCACGGGCTCGGTCTTTCTCATGAAATAAATAACCCTGGGGGGAAAAAAAAAAAGACAGGGGCCAGCAGGTGGTGTTATGGCTGAAGCACTGGACTCCCACATGGTCGACAGGTTCAAGTCCTGGACTTGGCAGCTTACTTTCTCACTTTCCCTTTCTCTTTCTCTATTCAAATTAAAAAATGATAACGATAAATCAAATTAAACAATTCTAAATAAATAAAAGACAGATATGGAGCAGGCAAAGCTGGGGGGGGTGGCAGAATTAAAGAACTGGGGCCAGCTGGTGGTATGTTGGTTCAAGCATCTGGATCCTGCGTGGCTGACAGGCAGTTCGAGTCCCAGACCCAGTGACTTGCATGCGTGCCCCGAATCCAGAAAGGAGAATGGAGAAGGGATATCGGTGTGGCTGTCCCCCATGGGGAGGGCGAGTTCTCACTTCCCCACTGTCTCTCTCTGGTGAGCGTACACACCCTGTCAAAAAAAAAAAAAAAAAACTTGGGACCAGCAGTTAGCGTAATGGCTAAGTCGCAGGAAT